AAGGGAGTTCCCTTTGATTCCTGTTTTTTCTTTTCATAGTATTTTTCTTTTTAAAATCAGGAATGGACTTAGGATTTTCTGCATCTTCTGAGCTGAGCTGATAATGTAGTTTTGTTTTTGTTTATTAATGTGATGGATAGCATTTTTTGATTTTTAAATGTTAAACCATTCTTGTAATTTGGGGATAAACTACACTTAGTTACAGTATATTATTCTTCTTATTATCACAGTAAGTAGAAGATGTTCCTGATCATTCTAGGGTGGTTAAAAGTGTCACAGATGGTATTACCTAAAACTGTATGCCAATTTTAAAAGAGGTTTGTAGTTCTGAGTCATTTACAATCCTCTGTTAAAAGGAGAATATATATAGAGGGACATATGCAAGTGGAAGGAAGACAGAGGCAAAGAAGAAATTTGAAATTTTTTCATCTTCTGAAAAATCTGTTCTGAGGGAGGTAGTTCCATTTTGATTTCAATGCTGAGGATTCAGGACTGCTTGAGAGATAGCTAGGGATGATAGCTGTCTGAGTTGAAGAGAGCAGATCAGAAAGTATGATTTCAGGAGTCATGGTTTGGGTCCTGTGGTATTTGAAACAGTTGCTCCTTTTTTCCTGGACAAATTTTCACATTCTTCCTTTGTCTTCTTGACTATTAGTTTATTCTGTTTCTTAAATATTAGAGTTTACCAGGGCTTTGTCATTGACCTTGCTCTCTCTCTCTTAGTTACTCCTTAGGTAATTTCACCAAGCCCTATGACTTTAAATACTTATTTTATTTACATAAAATAAAATTCTTTACTATGGCCTATAAGACTCAGCCTGGATGGGTTTCTAATTACCTCCATGACTATATGTGCTTCCACCCTCCCTACTCACTCTGCCCTAGCCATAGAGAATGCTGTCCATGGAGAATGCCAAACCTGTTGCCACATAAGGAGTTTAAACCTGCTCTTCCCTTGTATTGGAATGTGTCCCCAGATCTCATGGTTCACTCTCTTATTCTATTCAGTTCTCTGCTCAAATATCTAAGAAAGTCCTTCCCCAAGGTCTAAACTTCCTTTGCTATCATAAGCTACTCTCTGTTTAATGCATTGTCTCCATACCTGCTTTACCTCTCATTGAATCCTTCTTACCACCTCATATTATATCAATGATGTCTTTATTTATATGTTCATTGTCTGTCTTATGCACTATGAAGTAAGAACCAAGGAAGCAACAGCATTGCTTCATTTCATTTTGACTCTCAATAGGTACTAAAAAAATTCTAGTGATCAGTAAGTAAATATTTGCTGATCCTTTATAGATGACGTTTTATAAGTTATTACTAGCCAATGTGTAGATTTTTTTGTGTGTGTTTCTAGGCTGCCCTCTTGCATTTGTGTTAGCTACAGTGAGATGACATGGGTTTCTGTTGATTTATTCACAAAATCACAAATTGGCTTTTCTCAGGTACAGTTAACACAAAAGAACAAGAATAGTGTAAAATTCAGTTGGCTGTACTTTGCCCAAAATATTTATGTTTTCTTAATCTGATGACATTAATTATTGACCAAACATTGTCTTCACTTATCAAGTCTTAAAAATCATGTAAAATCATTTTTAAGTTAATTTTTCTTTTTAGGTCAAGAGTGCACTGAGGTCATACACTGTGAATTATTCATTCTTTTAGTCCCAGATTCAGAGCCTGAAAAATAGAAAGTTCTCAATAAATGTTTCTTGAAAATGGCAAATTGGAGAATGATTCAGGGAAATAAAAGTATCTAGGTACAGATTTACGTATTTCCTCTGCAAAGACTTGTCCGGATTTTTATAAAAGTTTGTGACTTTCTATTTTCCTACTCAATTCTGTTCTGTGTCCCAAATCTAATCCTAATTCATTTTCTCAGGCGGACTCTCAATGTACATGCAAGTCTAAATCTGGCCAAATTAATGTTTCTGTTACTCACTGCAGATGAAGTTCTACTTTACAGCCTCCTGTGGGACCTACACATCAGAGATAAGAGGTTCAGCACAGGCCAACAGGGATAGGACCAGTTTAGACCCAATCACCTGCGTTTAACCCTAGTGGTCTTCTTCTATCAAATATGGACTAGATCTAACCAGAATAAAGGTTGGGGGGTGGGGAATCCACCCAACTAATATTTATATAACTCAGAAAATTCTGGTACCATGTTAAGCAGGGTGGTTGAATAGGAAAGACAGTTCATATTCATTAAAATTTTAAAAAACTTTTCCCTCTTCCTATAATGGCAGTCATTGTAAAATGTTAAAGCAATACAGAATGTAATATAAATCATTTTATCCCATGACCCAAGCAAAGCCACTGTTATGGTTATATATTACTGTGTACAAACCACTCCAAATGGTAGAAACTTAAAACAATAACAATCATTTTATGGTTGTCTTTTGGGTTCTAGGGGTTGACTGGGCTTGGTTAGGTAGTTTTCACTTGGGCTCTCATGTGCCTTGTGGTTGGGGCTGAGGGTGGAATCACCTGAAAACTCACTCACTCACATGTTGGTGACTAGGTGGGGAGACTGAAACGCTGTTGGACCAGTGCAGCTGGGACTCCTTGGACAACTGTCTTGAATTCTGTGTAGTCTTTCTATATGGTCTCTCCAGCATGGTGGCTTCAGGGTAGTGGGACTTCTTCCAGAGCAACTCAGAGCCCCAGAGGTCCATGTCCCAAGACAGTGAGCCAGGTGGAAGTGTGTCGTAGTCTGTCTGGGATGCAATGATAAATTACCATGAACTTGGTGGCTTAAAAAACATTTCTTTTTCATAGTTCTGGAGGCTGAAAGTCTGAAATGAGTGTGCTAGCTGAGATGGTCAGGTTTTGATGAGGCCTCTCTTTTGGTTTCAGACTGCTGATTTCTTGTTGTATTTTCCATGTGGCAGAAATAGAGTTCTCTGGGATCCCCTGTATAAAGGCACTAATAATGTACGAGGACTTCATCCTCATGATGTACTCAGCTTTCAAAGGCTCCACCTCCTACTACCATCACTTTGGGGGTTAGGATTTTAACATATGAATTTTGGGGGGACACAAACATTTAGTCCATAACAAAGCTGAATTGGCTCTTCTAAGACAGCCTCAGAAATCATGCAACAGTACTAATGGGGTGCTCTATTGGTCAAAAAAGTATTCAAAGCCAAGTTCAACGGTGAAGGTCATGGGCTCCACCTCTTGATGGAGAAGTGGTAGAGTACTTCAAGAGCACATGGGATGGAAATATTGTGGCCATTTTTGGGAAATGGAATCTGCCATGACCACTTATATTTTGTTGGCTCTCCTCTGAGGCATCTCTTTATACAAATTCTGTTTGACAAAAAATGGATTTTTATGATACATGCTGTTATAAAACTTTCTTTTCTCATATTAGACCAATTGCAAGATCACAGAAAAAAGAAACTGAGATTAGCAACATGCAGTGAATTAGCTGTAGAGTTGGTCCAGATTCCATGTCTCTTGATTACAAATCTAGTACCCTTTCTATTTCTCCACATGGAATAATGAAGGCAGAGTTCTGTGATGTTCCATGTTGGAGCTATGGGTGAAACAGGATGGATACTGAGGTCCTTGAGGAAGGCTAGAACTGTTGAGAGGCTTATTTGGTAGCCCATACAAAAGCAGGTGGGTTTTACATTTATAATGAAAACTAAAAGGAAGCATCAAGCATGGAGATAGCATGGAGAAAGGCAGGTGGCTGATTATACGTTTCCTCTTATATAGGTTGGATGATTCCAAGTTTAGAGAAGAATGGAAGTCAGCTTCGGCTGGGAAAAAATAAACTTAATTTGGCAGGGCAGGTAGGTTGGAGTTGGAAGCCAGGAGGCTGGGCAGTTAAAAAAAAGTATCACATTGTTTTAAGTGTCTACTATATACTACAGAGCTGTTGGGGACAGAGTCAGAACTATAACTGATACCTTTATACATAAACTCGGTGGTTTTCCATTGAAATAATTGAAGTCATCTGGAGTTGTGTTTCCTAAAACATATTTGTACAATGCTAGTTCCATGAACAACTCTGTGATGAATCAGGTTCTGTATGATGGAAAAAATTGAATTTCAATTATCTCAAGTTTAGTCTTGAGAAATGCTGTGTACCACCTTACCCTCTTGGAGATTTACATGACACTGAAGGTTCTGGGAAGTTGTCCAGTTAATACATTTTGCTTCATATAACTCAGAGTTGCCAAAAATTATTTGACCATGGGAATCTTTGTTGTTGCAACCATTAAACATCTCACTGAATAGTACCTTAACAAAGCAAAGGTCAAAGTTTTAGGTCAGCTCTGAGAAAAGCTGACCTAAAGAAATGTAGATTAAAGAAAGAAGTAGTAATTGTCTTCAAAGCTAAAAAAGCTAGACTGTAGGCACTATATGCACCTGTGATATAATATAGGTTTTAAATAATTTGTATCAAAGTTTGTAATAATATAGATTGTAATTAAGGTGTGTGTTTTAAAATTAATCTCTATTTTTATACGTAAATTTTTTATTCACACAAGTATTTTTATTGATAAATTGTCCCCCATATTTTTGGGGAACATTTGATAGTTTGATATATTCATATAATGTGTAATAATCAAATTAGGGGGTTAGGATATCCATCACCTGAAACATTTATCTTTTCTTTATGCGGGGAACATTGGAATTATTCTCTTTTAGCTATTTTGAAATATATAACAAATTGTTGTTTACCGTAGTCCCCCATAATGATTTATCAAACAATAGGTCCTATTTGGTCTATCTAACTGCATTGTTGTATCCATTAATCAACCTCTATTCAACTCCACTCCACTTCTCTTCTCCTGTGCCCTGGTTACCACCAATCTACTCTCTAAGGATGCATGTTGTTCTTGTGACTTACCATGGTGGTTACCAGTTTTGTTTCCAAGACAAGAGCTAAGTGGAAAAGCTCCAACTCCCTCAGAAGTTGGAATAGGAGACAGATATCTGCAAGTTCATCAAAAGTTGAACCATCATAACTGTGCCATACACTCTGGGTTGAATCATTTATCCGATTGTGTGGACTAAAAGAATGTAGATGTCCAGGGCATCAAAGGGAAGAAAGTTTTCTATTGATGAGCTTTCTCAGGGCACCTTTCATATCCTTATTCCTCAAGCTGTAGATGAAGGGGTTCATCATGGGTGTCACCACAGTGAATAGGACAGCACCAATCTTATCAGTGTCCTCAGGGTGAGTGGAGGAGGGGAAAAAGTACACACCTACAATGGTTCCGTAGAACAGTAATACAACTGTCAGGTGAGAGCCACAAGTGGAGAAGGCTTTCCACTTTCCCTGTGTGGATGATATTCTCAGGACAGCTCTGATGATGCCGACATAGGAGAAGAAGATGAGTGCAAAGGGGAAGATGATAACTGATAAACCCACAATAAACAACACAAGCTCATTGATCATTGTGTCTGAACAGGACAGTTTGAGAAGAGGGGCCAAGTCACAGAAGAAGTGTGGGAGGGTGTTGTGGTCACAGAAGAGCAATTGAATGAGCAGAAGGGTGTGCGTCAGAGCTATAATATTACTGAGGAGCCACGAGATGACAGCAAAATGCAGAACCTGGGTCGCATGAGAGTTATGTAATTCAGAGGGTGGCAGATCGCTACAAAGCGGTCGTAGGCCATGGTCCCCAAGAGCAAATTGTCAGTGACCACAAACACAATAGAAAAGTATATCTGTGTGATGCAGCTCTCATAAGAGATGGATTGGCTGTTGGTTTGAATATTCACCAGCATTTTGGGGACTGAGTTGGAAATAGAGGAAATATCAGCAAAGGATAGATTGGCAAGGAAGAGATACATGGGGGTGTGAAGGTACGTATCCAAGCTGATGGCCAGAATGATGAGCCCATTCCCAACCACAGTGACCAGGTACATACCCAGGAAAAGCACAAAGAGGAGGTTTTGATGTTCAGCCTGGTTGGAGAGTCCTAGGAGAATGAATTCAGTGATGGTGCTTTGGTTTCCTTGATGCATGTTTCTGCTGATCTGAAGAAAGGAACACAAAGTCTTCATACTCCTACAAGAAAACTTAGCATGGTGTCATTTGACTGCAGTCATTGCAGTGAAGCACTTCCTTTTGGCTGATGGGCAATAAAGTTTCTTCTGCTTATTAAGTGGAAGTGCTACTTAATAAGGAAGTATTTCAGCAGTGTAGAGATTTGGAAAATGTCATGGAAAAAGACAGGACATGGCAGATACTTCTCAATGAACATGTTTTAAACTCTAACAGGATTCTGAATGTGACTTTTCCAGTTGGTTTTAAATGTAGTTTCAATCTCCCAAATGAAGATCGTGGGTGAGGCATACCCTATATTCTAAAGATGTTATATACACGTGCAGCAATTACTTAAAAGTGACCAAACTGGTCCCCTTGTTCAACTTTATCCTTTAAATCTAAGAGAAAAACAATTTCAAGTCTCGTGGAAGTGAAGAGACTGGGGAAGTAAACACAACTGAGGGTTAGGAATGGCTATGGGAGTGTACACCATTGTGTGGGTGCTTCATCCCACTAATCCAGAACAAGTGCTTTTGAGGAATGAGTACAAGAAGGAGCAACAAGGGTTTTACTTAATCTGTGGCTACATATTAGCTTCAAGAAAATTTAGGGGGCACACATACACTTAAAGAGTTCTGTTTGCCTCTCACTTCTAAAGGTGAGGGGGTCGCTGGATCAGGTCATGATGGCAGGGGTAGGGGGAAAAGATGGTGGTTAGTATGACAATACTGCATTTTCACCCATGGCATGGCATAAATATGTGAATTTCCCATAGGACACGTGATGCTATAGGAGGTCATTGCAGTCAAGTCACCTTGTTGAGATTCCAATCCAGAAACAGCCTATCGGGGCAGATGAGGCAGTAGCAATAATGAGGTGGCTCTCTTAAGAAACAGAGATCTTAAAGAGATCAGGGACATAATTCATTGTCCTTGTCAGGGGACCACATAATAGGGCAGTCTTCAAAAGGGAGCCTCTGACGAAACTCAAAATGATCTCAAGAAACACCAGGCCTGCCACATATAAGGCACCAGCTGCTAGTATCTATGGCAACAGAGCAAGGAAAGAACATATGCTCCCACCTTTCCGCTGTACAACCCAAGCTACACATCAGATCTGAGGTCAAAAGGGAGGATCCATGCTTTGAATTGATAGTGAAGTTGAAGTTTAAAATTGGGCTGGACTTGGTTTTTTAATACCTGGAAATGGATCTTCAGTATCAAATTTAAACTTTTTTTTTTTTTTTTTTGGAGACAGAGTCTCGCTCTGTCGTACAGGCTGGGGTGCAGTGGTACGATCTCCATTCACTGCAAGCTCCGCCTCCCGGGTTCACGCCATTCTCCTGCCTCAGCCTCCCGAGTAGCTGGGACTACAGGCACCCGCCACCGCGCCCGGCTAATTTTTGTATTTTTAGTAGAGACGGGGTTTCACCATGTTCACCAGGATGGTCTCGATCTCCTGACCTCGTGATCCGCCCGTCTCGGCCTCCCAAAATGCTGGGATTACAGGCGTGAGCCACTGTGCCCGGCCAAATTTAAACATTTTTAAAGCCTTAAGCGGCCAGAAAGGTAAATGGATATCACAAGGTGTCATCTAGGAGTAGGGAAGGGAGATTGGAGCTAGTATGATTTTCGTTGTGACTTATTGAAAATAATATCAGTTTGGGAACAAAGAGACATTGGTTCCTCTTTCTACTCTCTTCACAATGTCTCCTTCTCATTTTATCCCTCTCTTCTACCTATCTTCAAAATCACTTGTCTTTCAAAGATTTTCTTTCCATTCAGAGGCCAGAAAAGAGGAAACCATGTCTGGGATTCCGGAAAACTGAAAGGCACTGGAGATTGAAGCAGAGATCTGAAGTCTCTTTCCTCCTGAAAAGCTTGGCTTACAAATCAGAGAGAAGGGAAAACACGCGCAGAAGGGAGAATCCACAACAAAACTGAAATGAGCTAAAAAACTAGCAGGCATCTATATTGAAGATACAGACTGGACTGTGGTTAACAAGTCCTTGGCTGGTTTGGGCTTGACTAGAGAGGGGAATTGTATGTTTCTGAGTGACAATCTCTGATCTCTCCTTTCCGTTCTACCTTTCCCACCTACCAGTACTCCTGCACAAATTGTTCTGAGTTCTTAAGGTGGCTGCCTAGCTGGTCAAGACCAACGCTGGATTCTGAAGACTAACCTCTGAATGATGGTAAAAATCTCAGGAAGTTACTGGTTTCTAGACCCAATGGCTTTCCTTATCTTTAGCAGAGTTTCAGGTGGAGACTCAGCAGCTCTTAGGTATTTTTCAGATTAAACTCTTCCTCTAAGCTTCGCAGTTAATAGAATCATTGTGCTGGGCTCACCTGGGACATTCAGGTCCTTCTCATCCCTTTGGGATAATATCCCTCAAGTGTCTTCCTCAAGACAAACAGTAACTTTTGGATCCCAGTTTTGATGAGGTAAATGGGGAATAGAGAGACAGCTCTGCTTTTTTCCCTTGTTTTGTCTTTGCGTGCTCTTCCCACGTGTGATTTCCTATCTTAACTTAGTTGATTATTGCTCTTCACAGGGAGGGAGTCGCTTGCACTGTGTGTCATCCCCAGTGAAATGGTCAGCATTTTCAGAGTTCTTTTCTGTGTCTCCTCTAGTGCCTAATGGTGGGAAAGAATTAGGAAATACCTAGATAATTGAGTTGAATTTTTTGACCAGAGATTATGAATCCAAAGTGATGTCATATCTAGTAGGATATGATCTTGGCATAAGTTGAATAAATGTTAGCATTGGAAATTGGATACCCAGTGATTCCACATTCAGGGCTCTTAATTGCAAACTAAAGACAAACGCTGGGTTTCTAATTTTGCAAATAAACATATTGAAATGATAATTGAGTGGTTCACAATATAATGGGAAGGATGGAAAATGACATCCTGAAATGGGCAGAAGCAATAGAGACTGCCCAGCCAGGGACTCAGGCAAAATTAATATATCCCTTCTTCCAATGCTTAGAGGTGCCTTACAATATAGTATACTTATTTCTTACCCAAACTAAGAATGTTGATCACCTCTTCAGTAGGAAAACCTCAACCTATGGATTAAGTGTATCAATGAATAATATTTAAAATAATGGGGTAATAGAGAAGGAAGAAGTCAAGTTATTCTATTTATGTACTAACATACAAAAATCAGCAACACTTGTGTATGCTAGCAGTGAATTATCTGTAAAAGATATAAGGCAAACAATTCCATTTACAATAGCTACAAATGAAAGATAACTAGGAATAAACTTAACCAAGGAGGTGAAAGATTTCTACCCTGAAAACTATATAACTTTGATGAAAGAAACTGAGGAAGACACAAATATATGGAACAATATCTTGTGTTCAAGGATTAGAAGAATTGATATTATTAAAATAACCATACTACCCAGGGAGATCTACAGATTTATTACAGTCCTTATAAAAATTCCAATGACATTCTTCACAGAAACAGAAAAAAATTCTAAAATTCACATGGAACCGTAAAAGACCCCAAATTGAGAAAGCAGTCCTGAAAAAAACAAATAAAACTGAACGCACCACATTACCTGACTTCAAAATATACTATAAAGCTATAGTAACCAAAACAGCATGGGGCTGGCATAAAAACAGACACATAGAGCAGTGAAACAAAATAGAAAGCATAGAAATAAATTCAAGCACCTAAAGCCAAAGGATTTTCGATAAAGACGCCAAGCACAACACATCGGGTTGAAGATAATATCTGGTATTGGTAAAACGGGATATTCACATGCAGAAGAATGACACTAGACTGTCTCTCACCATACACAAACACAAACTTAAAATAGATGGTAGACATAAATGTAAAACCATAATCTATGAAACTAACAGAAGAAAACATAGGGAAACACTTCATTACATTGGGCTGGGCACAAATTTATAAAATAAGATCTCAAAAGCTCAGGCATTAAAAGCAAAAATAGACAAATGAGGTTAAATCAAACTAAAAAAGATTTTGCACAGCAAGGAAAACTATTAACAGATTGAAGAGATAATCTACAAAATTTCAAAAAATATTTGCAAATTATGCATCTGATAATGGTTATAATATTAGGCTATATAAGGAACTTAACAGCAAAAAACCCACCTAATTGAAAATGGGCAGACCTTAATACACATTTCTCAAAAGATGACATGGCCAAATGGATGTATAAAAAATGTTTAATATAATTAATCATCGGAGAATTCCAAATCAAAATTATCTTGGGATATCTCCTTACTCTTATTAGGATGGCTATTTGTCAGAAGACAAAAGAAAACAAGTGTTAGCGAGGATGTGGAGGAAAGGGAACACTTACACACTGTTGGTGGAATTGTAAAGTAGTACAGCCGCTATGAAAAACAGAATGGGGTTTCCTCAAGAAATTAAAAATAGAACTACCATATGATCCAGCAATCCCACTACTAGGTATATATCCAAAGGAAATGAAATTTGTATGTTGAAGAAATTTCTGCATTTCCATGAGTGTATGGCACAGTTGTGATGGTTCAACTTTGGTGAACTTGCAGGTATTTGTGTCCTATTCCAACCTCTGAGGGAGTTGGAGCTTTTCCACTTAGCTCTTGTCTTGGAAACAAAACCTGTAACCACCATGGTAAGTCACAAGAATAACATGCATCCTTAGAGTAGATTGGTGGTTACCAGGACCCAGGAGTGGGAAGATGGAGTGGAGTTGATGAGCTGTTGATTAATGGGTACAACAATACAGTTAGATAGAAGAAATAAGACCTATTGTTTGATAAATCATTAGGGGTACTATAGTAAACCATAATCTATTGTATATTTCAAAATAGCTAAAAGAGAATAATTCTAACATTCCCAGACATGTGGCAGTTTCTCAGGCGTAAGAGGACCCAGGAAAGAACATGCCAGTTGGAGGCACTTATGTATTATAGCCATGAAGACTATCTCCTGGAGGCGTGGGGCCTGGTACATGAGTGTGGAGGGTAGTTGGCAATTTAGATATTTTGGAGCCAAGATTACTAAGAGGACGTCATCAGTCATAGAAAGAAATATAAAACTCTCTTGTAGAATGCACAGAAGGACTTCTTAGAACATATCTCAAGGCAGGCATCTGGCATTTCTTTCATCATGGTCTTCTTGCATATATTATTCTTCTTTAGAATAAATAAGATTGACTTATAACTATGTCCATTTTCCCAATAGTGTGTAAATTTT